GGTCTTGGCAGTTCTCGGCGGTGACACCTGCCTGGAGCAGCCTCCCAGCTCTGTGCAGACCTGGGCCACCATGCCCAGGAACCTGCAGGGGACTGGGTCAACTCCTACCCAGAGAGGTGGCCGGGTGTTTTCTGGGGATCCTCTGAACTGGTCAGGTTGGAAACTTTGCTGCTTCGTTGAGGACACTCCCCCGCCTCCACCTTATCTTTTCTTTTAAACAATTATTTATTTTAAAAAATATTATTATTTTTATATAAGCAGAGAGGGAGATCTTCTGTCTGTTGATTCACTCCCCAAGTGGCCACAATGGCTGGAGCTGCGTCGATCTGGAGCCAAGAGCCAGGATCCTCTTCTGGGTCTCCCACGTGGGTGCAGGGCCCCAAGGTTTTGGGCCATGCTCTACTACTTTCCCGGGCCACAATCAGGGAGCTGGATGGGAAGTGGAGCAACTGGGGCATGAATTAGCCCCCGTATGGGATCCTGTGCTTGCAGGCAGAGGACTAGCTAATTGAGCCATTGTGCCAGCCCCTCTGCCTGGCCTTACAGACCGACAGGAAGAAGGTGAAAATGAAACTCAATGTAACAAAATGCAGTGCATTCTTGGATGGAAGCTTCTAGACCTCAGAAACACCTGGCAGGATGAAGTGGTGCCCAGATCCTCTTTGGAGGGGCTAACTGTTGGTCTCTGGGCAGTGAGTTCAACCCCTTTCTGGGCTTGAAGGTAGGAACCTCTCTGCTGGGCAGGTGCAATGAGGTGGCAAGTCCTGGGATGAAATTCCACCCAGGCCCTAGCTAGCGTTGTGTTCAGTGTCGTTAACTCCCGCACAGGGCTTGAACGAGAGGAGCCTGGATGCAGCATCTCTGAGCTGTGTGCCCTGGGCCACATCGCCGCCCCTCCCTGCGCCTCAGCTGCCTCCTGGGGCCCTCCCAGGTGCTGGGAAAGGAAGGAGAAGGACTTCTGTTGCCCTTTGTGGGGTTGTGCTGTGTCCCTCCACAACTTGAAAGGCTCAGAGGACCTCTGACTTTCCTGCCTGGTGTTCCTGGACAGGCATTGGCACCTGCCCTGTCAGGAAGGTGGCAGGTGGCACAGGCAGGCATGGCTGCTGCTCTGTTTCCTATGATACAAGGCCCTGGCAGCCTCAGCAGCTGCGAGGTGGTTCTGGGCCCTGCAGCAGCAGGTGTCACACGGGCCTGGTGTCCACTCGCCCCTCTCCTTGCACTCCCACAGGCCTGGTGTCCACTCACCTCTCTCTCCTTCCGTTCTCCCATAGGCCTGGTGTCCACTCGCCCCTCTCTCCTCCCACTCCCACAGGCCTAGCGTCCATGCTCTCCTCTCTCCCTCCCATCTGTTGATTTGTTATTTTTATTCCTTTGAAAAGCATAAGCAGCTCTCCTGATTGTTGTTGCTTCCCACATATGTGCAGCAGCTGGGCGGGGTATAAACCAGGAAACCAGGGGCAGGACGGAGCTCCCCGTGGGCAGAGCAACCTGCCATGTCCCAGGGCATCAGCGGGAAGCTGGGATATAAACCAGGCGCTGTGTAGGGGTGCTGTGTCCCAAGCTGCCTGGCTAGCACGGGGCCTTTTCCACCTGTTTGCTACCTGGTGGCTCCCCGCTTCCTGGTCGCCCCAGACTCTCTGGCCTGCTGGCTGGCTCATTTCATTTCCCAACACCCAAGGAGTACCCCTCGCTTCTCCACCTTCATTAGCCACAGGACACTGGGAGGACATCCACCTTCTGCTGCCTCTGGGGCTGCTCTCCTGGCCATTCCCATCATGTCTTCCCTGCTGTGGCATCCCAGCCTGTCTGTCTGCCTTCATCTGGCCCCTGAGCATCCCTGTGCCAGAGAGGTCCGGTCTAACAAGTACGCAGAAGGCAGAGTCTCTCACACACAGAGCGTGCTTCCATTGCTCATTCACTCCCCTGGATGGCCACGGGAGCACAGCCGGGTGAGGAGCCCAGGGGCCAGGGAGTCCGTCCCGGTCTCCCACATACTTGGCAGTCAATGCAGTGCCTGAGCATCATCCACTGTCTTGCTAAGCGCAGTGGCAGGAATGTGGACCAAAGGTGGAGCAGCTGGAGCTCAGATCCACGTAGGGCACTGAAAGCCGTGACTCACCCCACCGTGCCACAGGGAAGTCTTAAATGTGAATTACATCCTCTCCCTTGTCCCTTGGGCCTCCCAACAGTTCCTTATTTCACTCAATAAAACCCAAAGTCTTTAATGCAATGCCCAGTGTGAGTGACCACTGCCAGCCTCCTTGACCTTCATACCTTTCTCTGCCCCTTCATACCTTTCCATTTGTTTTTGCTTTTGTCTTTTTTAATATTTATTTATTTTTATTGGAAACTCAGATATACAGAAAGGAGGAGAGACAGAGAGGAAGATCTTCCGTCTGATGATCCATTCCCCAAGCAGCCACAACAGCTGGAGCTGAGCCAATCTGAAGCCAAGATCCAGGAACTTCTTCCAGGTGTCCCACATGGGTGCAGGGTCCCAAGGCTTTGGGCCGTCCTCGACTGCTTTCCACAAGCAGGGAGCTGGATGGGAAGCAGGGCTGCTGGGATTAGAACCGGCGACCATATGGGATCCCGGCGCATGCAAGGTGAGGACTTTAAGCACTATGATATCGCGCCGGGCCCATCCATTTGTTTTTTAATATTTACATTTTTATGTGAAAGGCAAAATTACAGAGAGAAAGAGAGTGCGTGTGCAAGGGAGGTCTTCTGTCCCCTGATGCACTCCCCGAGTGGCCACACAACAGCCAGACTGGGCCAGGCTGAAACCGGGGTCAGGCCTCTGTCTTCCACGTGGGTATGCGGGGGTCTGAGCTCTTGGGCCATCTTGCACAAGCACTTTATCAGGGAACAGGATTGGAAATGGAGTGCTTGGGACTCACATGGCGTTCATACTGGTGCCTGAGCACTGGCCCCGACCATGTTTCTCTAACTGCCAGCTGGGGGAGGCAAACAGGCAAAAAGCCACTGCATCCGTCTCTTAATTGTGACCTTGCTAGACTGCTGCTGAGGCAAGGACTTGCATTTAAAAATTGTAAGCATAGGAGATCGAGTGAATACAGTGTTAAAACACGCTCCTGGGGCCATGGGAAGAGCAAGGGGAAAGATGCGTAATGGATCCTGGATCACGCGGCACGTTCTGGGCGGTGGCATGGGGTCTGCCCTGGAACCCGTGCACGTGGCAGCTGGAGCGGTGGCTTGCAGTAATCCCAAAGCCCCAGCTCTTCGTTCTTCACATCCAGCAGCCTCCCAACTTTCTTGCTGCCTCATTTTCCCTGTCTTTAACATCAGATGATCATGTGGTTATCAAATTGGCCTTCTCTGCCTCCACCACGCAGTCTAGCCAGAAGAAGCCTCACATCGAGATGAGGGATTATGGCTGTTCTTGGAAGGGCTTTGTAGCCGGGAGCCAGAAGCTCACAGCTGTGGTACCCTCACCCGCACCCACAGCACGCCCTGCCCGCATGTGTGTGCAGGGATAGCAGCACACACTCCCCGTGCTCGCTCACACACACACACACACACACGCAGGGATAACAGCACACACTCCCCGTGCTCACACACACACACACACACACACAGAGGGATAACAGCACACCCTCCCCGTGCTCGCTCACACACACACACACACACAGAGGGATAACAGCACACACTCCCCGTGCTCGCTCACACACACACACACACACACACACACGCAGGGATAACAGCACACACTCCCCGTGCTCACACACACACACACGGATAGCAGCACACACTCCCCATGCTCACACACACACACACATACACACAGAGGGATAACAGCACACACTCCCCGTGCTCTCTCTCTCACACACACGGATAGCAGCACACACTCCCCATGCTCGCTCACACACACACACACAGGGATAACAGCACACACTCCCCGTGCTCACACACACACACACACACACAGAGATAGCAGCACACACTCCCCGTGCTCACACACACACACACACACACACACACACAGGGATAACAGCACACCCTCCCCGTGCTCACACACACACACACACACACACACAGGGGTAACAGCACACACTCCCCGTGCTCACACACACACACACACATATACACACAGAGGGATAACAGCACACACTCCCCGTGCTCGCTCACACACACACACACACACACACACGCACACGCAGGGATAACAGCACACACTCCCCGTGCTCACACACACACACGGATAGCAGCACACACTCCCCGTGCTCACACACACACACATACACACAGAGGGATAACAGCACACACTCCCCGTGCTCTCTCTCTCACACACACGGATAGCAGCACACACTCCCCATGCTCGCTCATACACACACACACAGGGATAACAGCACACACTCCCCGTGCTCACACACACACACACACACAGATAGCAGCACACACTCCCCGTGCTCACACACACATACACACACACACACACACACACAGGGATAACAGCACACACTCCCTGTGCTCGCTCACACACGCACACACATGCAGGGATAACAGCACACACTCCCCGTGCTCACACACACACACACACACACACAGGGATAACAGCACACACTCCCCGTGCTCACACACACACACACACACATATACACACAGAGGGATAACAGCACACACTCCCCGTGCTCGCTCACACACGCACACACACTCAGGGATAACAGCACACACTCCCCATGCTCACTCACACACACACACACACACACACACACACACGCAGGGATAACAGCACACCCTCCGTGCTCACACACACACACACGGATAACAGCACACACTCCCCATGCTCACACACACACACATACACACACACACAGGGATAACAGCACACACTCCCCGTGCTCGCTCACACACACACACACGCACACACATACACAAATAGCAGCACACCCTCCCCGTTCTCTCTCTCTCTCTCTCTCTCTCACACACACACACACACACACACACACACACACACAGCAGCACACCCTCCCTGTGTCGACCATCTGAGAAAGCCAAGGGCCCAGCATCCTCTGGATCATTTTTGGGTTTTTGGGTCTTCAGTTCATTGTTCACTAAACTTGTTGAGAGTGCCTGGGATCCTGGCAGTTAAGATGTTAAGAGCAGCCGAGAGGTCAGGAGCCGTGGAAGTGCTGTGGTCAGGCAGCCTGTTGTCTGGCCCCCTGCCAAGCCTGTTACACTGCTTTTTTTTTTTTAAACTCTGTTTTCCTGCCCAGTCATTCCCACATCTCCCACTCCCGTCGCCCTGGGCGCAGCCGGAGCCCCCCGTGGAGCTTGAGCAGTGATGATGTTCGCCGAGGACAAGACCTACAAGTTCATCTACCACCAGCACAGCAGGTTCTGCCGTGTGGATGTTCTGGAGATCCTGCCTCACCTGCCCTGTCTCACGGCCAGTGACCAGGTGAGCCTGGGGAGTGGCTGCACCCCAGCCAAGGCCAGCCCCTTCCTCTGTCCCTGGAAGGAGCTTCAAAATGTTCCTGGTGAAGGCATACTCTGAAACGACCATGCACGCGTTCCACAACTTTTGTGCCCAAATAAGCCAAATAAGCCCAAATAAGCGTGTCCTGCTGCTTGTCCCTGCTCCAGCCCTAACTGGATGTAACTGGATGTAACTGGATGAGGTGCGCTGGGAGCTGACTCTGCTGCCTGTGCGCCACCCCCTCGGACCCAGACTCCCTCTTGTGTTGGATTCTGTGTAGTGCCTGGAAATCTGGCGAGGGCCAGCTGTGGCCTCTGGCTCCAGTGTTACAGGCATCGGCCCTTCCTCTTGTCCTTGCCTGCTCCACTTTGAGTCCCTTCTCTGTGGCACAGGACCGAGCCCTGTAAGGGATCCCTGGGGCTTGTTCTGAGTACCCAACCCAGGGCAGTTCCCACTTGAGCTGCTGTCTCAGGCAGGAGCCCTGTGCTGTCCTCTGGGGCGCCTGTCCTGGTGTCTGAGGAACAGCACCTGCCCCTGCCCCTTCCCACACTGACACTGGGGCTGCTGGGGTTGGGTTGCTGGGGTTGGATCCTCTCTGTCGTGTTTTGCATGCTAAGGGTCCCTGTCCCATGGCTTAGTAAGCGTTTTCTGTGGGCTCTGTTTTTTCCTATCCAGATTCTTCTTTTGTTTTGTTTAAAGATTGATTTATCTTAATAGAAAGGCAGATTTACAGAGAGAAGGAGAGACAGAGAGAAAGATCTTCCATGTGTTGGTTCATTCTCCAAATGGCCACATGGCTGGAACCAAGCCAATCCGAAGCCAGGAGCCTGGAGCCTCTTCTGGGTCTCCCAAGGCTTTGGGCTGTCCTCAACTGCTATCCCAGATGACAAGCAGGGAGCTGGGAAGGATGTAGAGCAGCTGGGACACAAACTGGTGCCCATATGGGATGCTGGTGCTTGCAAGGCGATAATTTAGCCACTGGGCTGTTGCTCCAGCCTGCTAGCTGGCTTCTTGCTTTTGCCCTGGGGCATGTGTAGGTTTCTGTAATCCCAAGGCTTTTATGTGAGAGAAGCTGGCTTCTGCTATGCATCCTCCATCAACAAAGGAGAGACAAGAGTAACAAGAAATGAAGCAGAGAGCCTGGGCCACCGCGGGCCTGCTCCCTGGCTGCTGCCTTTACTGCAGTTGCTGCAGCCTGCGGACGGCCTGCTCTGCCTTTACTAAAGTCGCTGTTGCTACTTGCTCTTCCTCAGGAGTTCTTGGGTCCTGACCCTGACCCTGTCCCAGGCTGGGGTCCAGTTTCCAGGTTGCTGCTTCCCACTGGGGTCCTCTTAGGTCCCCTCTCTGCAGCTGTCACCGCCAGGACAGAGAAGGGGCTAGACACCTGGCTTGAGCAGGCTCTGGGCGCTGTGTCTTCCAGGACCGACTGCGGGCCGCTTACAACCGCCTGGGCAACCGGGACACCCTCTGGGATCTTTTCAACACCCTGCAGCGGCGGACCGGCTGGGTGAACTACTTCGTTGAGGCCCTGAGGGTCTGTGAGCTGGACGATCTCGCTGACCTAGTGGAGCGCGAATACCGGAGCCACCTGCCTCGTGAGCTCCCTTCCCTGGCCTTCCCTGGAGACTCTGCCTGCTCACCCTGCCTTCTTTGCCTCCTTCTCCCCTTCCCTGTAGCACCTCACCCTCCCTCCTGTCCCTGGCCTGGCGTAGAGCCTGGCTGAGCCTCTGTCTTTTGCTCTGTGCAATGGGGCTGACTGCAGGCCAGCCACCTGTACTGAGTAGGTATGGCAAGATGGCGCACTCTCCTGCAGTTCTGGTGGCTGGAGGGACTGCCCTGTCCCTCACCTCCTTTCCTGGGGAACTTCCACCACACACGATCGGTCGCCTTCCCTTCACTTCTCTTCCCCTCCTGCTCTCTTTCCCCTCAGCTCCCTCTCAGGGCACCTTCCTGCTCAAGAGCCAAGGGTGTTTGTCAAGGTCAGGCTGCAGGAGCAGGCATGCGGGAAGCCAGCCTACCCTGTTTATGCCAGGGCACTTCAGAAGGCTTGTGGGAAAATCAGTATGAAAGACATTTATTTGGGTGCAAAAAAAGTCAAAATCCATGAAGTTTTTCCTAACATTATTTTTGTGAAACTTTTATTTATGTAATTTTAATTGTGTAAGTTTTATTTTTGATGATTTTTACATATTTGATTAGGGTGCAAAGGGTCAAGGGCTAGAGGAAAGTGGGTGAGGCCATTGTTTTCCTATTCTCTGTTTTCCTTCCTGTATCTGGAGGGAGGGGAGAGAAAAGGGGAGAAACCACACCCAGCCCCCCAACCATCGCAGGGTCCCTGATGTGGGGCATGCTCTGAGGGCCCTGCTCAAGTGGTTTTGACAGATCAACAGTTCTGTATTGCTGCCGAGCTTGCCATTCCAGTCACGATGAAATCTCACCAGAATCCACTGGCTGACATAGTCTACTTTAGAGTCTCCACTTGCCCAGGTATTTACTGCCAACTCTCGGCTGGAGTAGTTGATTGATTTGTTCTGTCCTCCATTCTCTGTTATGGTACCAAGTGTCCTCTGCAGGCCCCTGTGGACTGCCATGTCCGTCCTCCATGAACATCTAGATATGCTGTCCACTGCTCCATCGAAACCACTGAGGAGGCCCAGCTCTGACACAGGCACTCCACAGTCAGACCATGGAACCTGCAATTTCCTCCATGGTTCAGTGGTTCAGTTGGGATTCCGAAAGAAACTTCTGACCTGGTTCTTGTGTGTGCATGCCAATACAGGGTCCGGTACAGTCTGTTGCCCAAATTGACCTATACGCACGATTTTAGTTGCAATTGCTAGGTCAGTTCTGTCTCCAGTCCCGTTTCCTATGGAAATCAATGGTGTTGGAGTCCAGCCCAATCCTGCCCACCGCACACTCGGCCCTCATGCAAACCAGTGGGAGCTGGAGCCTAGTTAGAGTGACCCACAATAACCTCCACTGGGCCTCTCCCTGCCCTGTTCTCATGCTTGTCAGTATGTACCGCAGAATGATCTGGTCCAGTCTGTTCTACATCCCATTCAGCTTCTGTACACATCAATGGACATTGAAGCCTAGTTCAACCCAACCAGCCCCCCTATCCAGCCCACACATGTGCCAGTGATTCCTACTCTCTGTCTGGCTTGCCTGTCCCAGACCTAGTCCTCATGCTCACCAGTTAGAATGGCAACCCAAGAAGGAGGTGCCCACTGTTTCTCTCCCACTCCTGGATCTTGCACTCTCCTAGTGGTTCTGCAGTTTAGCTTGACAGAGTTTTCCCCCATGCCAGCATCTGCTAGCTGATGCTGCAGCAAAGCCCAACCAACCCCCATCCACTCTGGCTTATGCATGTACCAATAGGTTCAGTATGTTCAGCCTGGCTTGTCTCCGATCCAGCTTACATGCAGGCCAACAGGTGAAGTAGCCCTACCTGGCCTGGTCTGCCCCTGATCCCAACTCTCATGCTCACCAGTGGGAAGAGTGACCCTGCAACCCCCCTGCTGGGTTCACCTACTCTCCACCAGATCTCACATGCTAGTCGGGTGCTGCAGCCCAGTCTGGTATGTATGGGCCGCCTCATCTCAGCATTTGCCAGTGGGTGCTGTAGTCTGACCCAGCCCGGCCCGCCCCCAGTTCCAGCTGATGCTGGTGGGGACTACAACCTAGCCCAGCCCAGCCAGCCCCCTATCCTGGTCCTAGTATGAACTGGCTGGTATTGTAGCCCTACCTTGCATGACCCATACACCATTCTGGCTCTCAGATTTGCCAGTGGGTGATACGAACTGGCCCAGTCTGGCTTGCCCCAGACCTGAGCCAAATGTAAGCCTGTGGGTACCGTAACCTAGCTTGGTCTGGGCTGTTCCCTTTCTTGGTTCTTGCACTCGCCTGCAGGGACTGTGTCCCAACAGAGGAGTTCCCCCAAGATCTTCCATCAGAACTTCTCCCAGTGCCAGATCTTGCAAGCACCAGTGGTTCTGTGGGCCAACCCTACTTAGTCCACCTCCCATCCTAGCAGGAACAGTATCCTTTCCTGACTGGCCCTCACCCATTCTGGTTCTTACTATTGGGTTCTATAGCCCAACCAAGCCTAGTCTACACCCAGACACAGCTCACACATGACTCAGCAGAGGCAGAGACCTAGCTCAGCCTGTCCCACACCCACAGTGGTTCTCACAATCACCAGTGGGTGCTGGAGTCTAGCCCAGTCTGGCACACCCCAGACCCAGTCCACACCAGTGCCAAGAGAGACTGCAGCCATGTCCAGACCAGATCACATTCCCCACTCTGGTCCCCATGCTCACCAGTGGGAACCAGTGCTGGAGTGTGGTGGTCAGCCATGTTCCATGCTAACAAGCCCAACCCAGGACTTTCATGTGGACTGGTGCATCAATCTGACCCAAAAATATCTTCAGGTCTCTCCCCTCCAAACCGCCAGGTCTCAGTCCTTTTGCTTATCTTCAAGTACAGTGACCCTGTTGTTGGGTGTCCCTCAGGATCCATTCCTCACTTACACGTACAGTGGCCTTATCCGTGGATGTTCCTAGGCAGTAATTCCATACTCCCCAGACCCCAGAGATTGCTTCTGGGTGGCAGAAGGCAAAGCCTGGTGCTGGTTGGCTCTCTGGCTACCCACAAGCCCAGGACCCTCCCCCTGCTCAGCAGTGGTGGATGGGAAGCTAGGATCCCCAGCAGGTAGCCTGGCACAGCACAGGTTCCCCCAGCCACAGTCATGCAGCTGGGGGATCCAGACACCCAAGCCTCTGAGCAGACTCACCTGGACTCTAGCCACCAACACGGTCCTGGGCATACCTAGAGCTGTCCAACTTCCATCCCCAGCATGGTCCCTATGGACGGAGGAAATTCTCGGACAAGCCCAGGACCCTCCCCCGCCCAGCAGTGGTGGATGGGGAGCCAGGATCCCCAGCAGGAAGCCTGGCCCTGCGCGGGTGCCCCCAGACACAGCCATGTAGCTGGGGGATGCAGACACCCGTGCCGCTGCTCAGATCTACCTGAGCTCCACCTACTGTGAAGCTTTTATTTTAAAAAAGTATTTTTGAAAGAATTTTTATTTATGTATTTGAAATAGTTAGAGAGAAAGATCAGTCTTCTGTTTGTTGTTTCACTCCCCGATGGTTACACTTGCTAGTGCTGGGCCCTTCCAGAATGCAGGAATTTTTTCTGGGTCTCCCATGTTGGTACAGGCACCTGAACACCTGGCCATCCTCCATTGCTTTCCCAGGCCGAGGTAGGGAGCTGGATTGGATGTGAAGCAGCAAGGACTCAAGCTGGCAGCCATGTGGGATGCTTGGCATTGCAAGTGGCGCTTTTATGTGCAATGCCACAATGCTAGCTCCTGAAGTGGTGTTTGTTTATTTGTTTTTAAAGATTTATTTCTTAGGCCTGAATATTATTTGTTTGTTTTTTAAAATTTATTTATTGGGCCTGGAGAGGTAGCCTAGTGGCTACAGTCCTTGCCTTGCATGCCTAGGATCCCAGATGGGCACCAATTTGTATCCCAGCAGCTCCACTTCCCATCCAGCTCCCTACTTGTGACCTGGGAAAGCAGTTGAGGATGGCCCAAAGCCTTGGGACCCTGCACCCACGTGGAAGACCCAGAGGAGACTCCAGGCTTTTAGCTTTGGATCGACTCAGCTCCAGCCATTGTAGCTACCTGGGGAGTGAACCAGAAAATGAAAGATCTTTCTGTCTTTCCTTCTCTCTGTAAATCTGCCTTTCCAATAAACATAAATAAATCATTTTATTCATTAATAAATCATTTATGTTTATTAGAAAGGCAGATTTACAGAGAAGGAGAGACAGAAAGAACTTCCAACCACTATTTCATTGCCCAAACTTTGGATTGGAGCTGAGCTGATCAGAAGATAGGATCCAGGAGCCTCTTCTGGGTCTCCCACAAGGATGCAGGCCCCCAAGGCTTTGGGCCGTCCTCTATTGCTTTCCCAGGCCACAAAGCAGGGAGCTAGAAGGGAAGTGAAGCAGCCGGGATACGAACTGGTGCCCATGTGGGATCTTGGTGCTTGGAGGTAGAGGATTAGCTGGTGGAACCATCGCTCCCCCACTCCTTTTTAAATATCTTTCTCACACACACATATATACATAGCGGTATCTTCCATCCTTATTCACTCCCTAAATGTCCATAGGCTGATCTAGGACAGCAGCTAGAAGCTGGAATTGCCACTCGAGATTGGCACGTGTGTGGCAGGGGCCCAGTTACCTCAGCTGTCACCACTGCCTCCCAGGGTTTGCATTAGCAGGAGTCAGGAGCAGGAGCTGGGAGTTGAACCCAGGCATGGGCGGCTGGGCTACAGGGCTCCTGAGCAGAGACTCACCTGTTGGCGTGATGTTCAGCCTCGGGACGTGCCTCGTGGGCCTTCCCCTCTCCTGTCTCAGTCAATCTCTGGGTTGGTGGAGTTTGCTGTGACCCCCTGAGTGTTAGCAGCTACAGGGGACAGGGATGAATGAGACAGGTCTGTGATTGACAGAAGCCATGAGGATGAGATCACCACTGGGTCCCAGCATGTCTGGGCACAGAGGAGGGGTGAGTGCTAAGGCAGTCGAGGCGGTAAGAGGCGCAGAAGCTCCCCACCCCCCAGCTTCACTGTCCCTCTGCTATCTGCCCTCGGCTTCCCCTGCTCCCCCTCCTTTCCTGCTCCCACCCCTCCTTGGGGATATGTGGCCTCCCGGGTCTGTACCACACATGGAGCTGTGGGAGGGGGCTGGGACCCCAAGATCAGCCAGGCGTCACCCGTCAAGGTAGCCCCCCCAATTCCTTCCTTCCTGATCCCATTGTGTCTTTCTCCTGCAGGGACCCTGAACCATCCCAGAGCCACGCGGGAGGTGCCGGCACCTGCTACACCTGCTGCAGACCACGATGGCAGCAAGCAGCAGCTGAGTTACCCACTGCCTGTCCAGGACACCCAGCAACCCAAGTCCCCAGGACAGGCGCGTGTTCACAAGCCACCCCACTTCTGCCTGGCAGGAGCCTCTCTGTCCCTCAGCCCACGTAGTGTCCTGCCCCCTAAGCAGGGGTCTATGTGTGGGGGGGGTCACAGGGACGAGGACTCTGTGCAGGACCACCCGCGGACAGATGTCTGCCCTCGAGATGCTGGGTGCCTTCTGTGAGGTTAAGGCAAGGTTGCCCATGGACACAGGGTCCAGCTGTGTCTGGAACTGAGCTAGGGCTCCCTTGTCTCCCGGACCACAGGGTGTGGCTGAGGCGTTCCCAAGGGGCCTTGTACGGGAGTTGCTCTCAGGGCTAAATCATTGCCCATTTTCCCTCTTGCAGAGCCCAGAGCAGGCACCTCAGAAACCCAGCTCTGAGCCCGTCCTGAGGACATCCCCGGTGCCCCTGGAGCCCTCTTGCGACCGGGCAGCCATCAACCCTCAGGTGACTACCAGGCCCCAAGACGTGAGACCAGACAGCATCCTCACTGGAGGTACGTGTGGGACTTGATGTCGCAGGGAGGGTGAAGGGCAGAGGGTGCCCTCAGCCTTCCTTGGGCTCAGAGTAAAGTGAGGATGGAGGAGTTTGCTCCATGTAGCCCACCAGCTCCTTAGCCAGTGATGTGGTGGTTGAGGTTGCTGTGGAGTGAGCTGTTACTGGCTCCTAGCCAGCAGATCAGCAACACCTCTCAGCTGGGGCCGGCTGGACCTCTGCACTGCCCCTCAGGGACTGGAGCAGGTCCACCCTGAGCCCCCAGGCCCGTGTCCCTCCATAGCTGCCCCAGGCATGTGTCCCAGGCTGTGTGTTCCCCAGGTGTGTGCTCCAGGACGCTGAGCCTGACCGTCCCAGTGGCACCAAGCAGCTGAAGGCAGGGAGACACCACCTTAGTGCCCCCACTGCAGCCACTTCCCAGACTGCCCCAAGCACCTGTTTTGCCCTCTGCAATGTCACCTTATCCTCAGACACCCTTCAGGGGCTGCTGCTGGGATTTGCGAGGACAAAGGCACTTAGGTTTCAGCACATTCATGGTCCCGTGTCCTGGGCAAGTCTGTGCCATCCTATTTGAGAGGAAGGCACATCGGAGACTTCCCTGGGGAGCAGGTGTCTGTCCTGGCAGCTAGGACACTCGTATGCCATGGCCAAGTTCCTGGGCTGAGTTCCTTGTTTTACCTCTCACCTGTACTGACTCCACATGCAACACCTAGGTAGAGTTCTTGGCTCCTGGTGGGTTTGTCCCTGACCAGCCCCAGCCATGATGGGCACTTGGGAAGTGACACAGATGGGATGTCTCCATATGCCTCTCAAATAAATCAATGTAAATATTCAAAGTCGCCCCTGGTCTGTGTCAGGCACGGGGTCCGGCGTGTGCATTCTCACGGACCTCCACGAATGTCACCACCTGGCCCCTCCTGCTTCCTCCTGGGGCAGCTTTGTCCTTGGCCCCTGGAGGCTGGTGGCTTCTGGCGCCAAGTGACCAATGGGACTGCTCAGCTCGGGGAAGCCTGATGTCCCTTGCCTGGTGCAGGATCGTGCTGGATCCCATCTGGATGAGGAGAAAGTAACAGAGATAGATGCCCGGGAGGAGGGGCTTGTCCCGAGCAGGAAGAAGAAAAAGCAGGCGGAGTGATGGACAGTGGTCTCCCAGGTCCCGGGTCTTGTTCCCGAGACAGACCATGCAGTGCCTGTGACAGGACAGACGTGAGGTTTCAGATTGGGGACAGAGACCAGAAGGCCCGTGGGAGGAGCCTGGGTGGCCTGAGTGCTCAAGGGGACCCTTTCCTAGCTCTCAGGGTCACAGTCTCCTGCATTTGTGTCCACTTGCAGGTACTGTCTCCAGTCCCATGCCGCCCCAGGGACCTGTGTCTCCGTCCGTCTCCTTCCAGCCCCTGGCACGCTCCAGAGCATCCCCTGGACCTGCCGTATCAATTTCCTCTACTGGTACCTCCTGCTCCTCTGGCCAGGATGGGGGAGCCCAGGACGAGGCCACTGTGTGCCCCAGTGATACAGTGCCTGCTGGCTCTGGAACCACCATCCCGGCATCCTCCAGGGTACCCAGCAACTTGATGTCCGTGAGCACAGTGCCTTCGGGAGCACCCGCCAGCCCAGCACCTGCCAGCATGGTGTCTTCCAAGTCGCCTGCCAACCCCAAGATCCTTGCTGCCACACCCTCAGATGTACTTCCCAGTCTGGCGCCATCCCAGCTGCCCATCGTCTCTCCCACAGATGCTGCTTCCGTGTTGCCCAAAGTGCCTGCCTCCCCACTGCCCACCAGCAGGAGCAGCAACAGAGCCCAGGTGAGTCCCAGCCCCGCAGTACCTGATCCCCGCCCCCATCTCCAGCCTTGGCTGGTCTGCTACCTCTCCTTTCCTGGAGGGCTAATTCCTCGGGCGGGATGCAGCATGCTGCTCACTCCTTTAGGCCTCAGCCTCAGCTCCAGGAAGCTCAGCAAGGCTGCATCTGTATTTTTTTTTTTTTTTTAAGATGTATGTATTTGAAAGTCAGATGGCTGCTGGGTCTCCCACATTGGTGCAGGGATCCAAGTGTTTGGCTATCCTCCACTGCTTTCCCAGGCTATAAGCAGGGAGCTGGATTAGAAGTGAAACAGCCAGGACATGAACTGTTGCCCACATGGGATGCTAATATCACAGACAGACGTCTTACCCTCCTTGCCACAGGGCCAGCCCTTAGAAAGGCCATTTCACAGATGAGGGCCTCAGTGCCTTGCCCTTCACCACCAGTAAAGGGTGTCTGGCCTGGCATTGCATGAGCAGGGTCTTACCCACAGTCATCCCTGCCCACCAGCCTGGCCCCACTGCCCCCTTAGCTGCCCCCTGTAATCCCTCACATCTGACTCTGTTGCCTAAGTCCGTGGGGACTGCTCACCTGTGGCTGCCCCGCCACCCTCAGGCCCAGAGACGCTGATGGAGGATGCATTTGCCCTCCACCATGAGCTCCTGAGTGGAGATCAGCTCACCACAGGCCTGATGGCCTAGATTACAGAGGGAAGGAGGCTTGGGAATCGAGGAGCTGGACTGCCTGTGCTTGAGCTTGCTTGGGGAGGGGGCGGCAGGCCAGCTTGGCTCCCTATCGTCGCCGCTTCCTTGAACAGTTGCCTTTCTTTCCTAGGAGACCCCGATGGCTCCAGCACCCAGAGATGCCCCAGGAGAGAGCTTGCTCTCGGGGCCAGAGCTGAGCAAGCCCAATGTGCTGCTCTCCCAACCTGACAGCCAGCCTTACTCGGGCTGCTCAGCAGACCTGGACATCAGCCGGAGCAGCTCCCTGGCCCCTGGGGCCAGCCACGGCCCGGAGGAGAACGAGTATGTGTCGGTGGGCACTTTTGGGGTCCATGTGGTGGAGGAACCCAGTGCCAACCTCCTGACAGGCAATCCCAGGCCCAGCGTCTCCCCGCACCTCCAAGAGAAGGAGGAGGAAGATAAGGAGGAGATACAGTGCAACTGGGTGGCTCCCTGGGCTCCGTGGTTTGGGGCTGCCATAGCCACTGCACTCGTGGCCACCGTCCTGGCCATGCTCTACCGGCGGCGCGCACTTCAGTGACACCCCTGGGACTGCCTGCTGTGCACCTGCTCAGTTCTCTTGGATGCTCCCTGCCCTCTGGCCCTTCCTCAGGGTTGCAGGGCTGGGTCCCTGAGAGCTGGACTCTACACTGGGCCTGCTAGGAGAGCCAAGATTGTACCCTCTGCAGGTCCCTCTCTGTCCTCAGCTTCCTGCACCGCACCGTGCCCACCTGTGCCTGTCTACTTGTAGTCCAGGTTGTCACTTCCTGTGCCAGGCTCATGTTTGCCCAAGTCTGCACATCACAAGGTGCAAGACTCACCCTATCCTCGTGCCGCCAGGCTGGAGGGCAGGTGTGCTTGCGGGAGACCTCGTCCTGGCTCCCTGCCCTGACAGTACAGCCCCTAGACAGCCCCCAGACACCCTCACCCACCTCTTCACCCCCACCCAGGTCTCAGGGTTGAGGTGCAGGTCACCTGGCAAGCATAGGTCAGCCCAAGGTCCTGCTTCAGCACACCCCTTCCTAGGCTGGGAGGAAGTCACGGTGGTCTGACCACGGTCTCAGGTGCACAGCAGGTGGCTGAGATGGAGCAGATGGGCGATGGCCCAGAGTGGATGACCCCTGAATACTTCCCTGCTCTGCTGTCCAGGCGTGAGGGACAGAGTGCACAGTGGGCTGACAGTTGTTTTGCAGCCCCCACTTCCCGGCCCTCCCGGGCTTTGGGCAAGCTCTTACCATGTAGATGCCTCATGGTCTCGTCTGGGAGAGGGATTGAGTGTGGATGTGTATGTGGCCTCCTGGCACCTGGTGAGCATGGAATGTGTTCATCTGTGCCGATTGTGCAGTGGTTCCTAGTGTTTTCTGAGAGCTGGGCACAGCTGTGACCTCCACTTGCTGTGGGAGGACCTGTGCCTTTGGTTCACCTTGGGGACAGAGCCGGGCTCTTAGCTTGGCCTCCCTCCTTCTCCTTGTTTGCCCCTTCTTCAGCCTGTGCAAGAGGGTGAGTCCACCAGGCCAGCCATGCGTGATGAGGGCTGGGGCCTCCTCCCCCACGGCCACGTGGGTCCCGTGGCCCTGACCCCAGGCCAGCCAGCCTGCTGGTGGGAAGACTGGCTGTGTTCATACTAGAAACACATCAGGGGTATCTCAGGACTCTGTCGACGTGGCTGTTGCTGGACAAGGCACAGGCATGGGAGCCACCTCCGTGCCAGCCTGCAGCTCTGGTACGCTGGCTTGGCTGCCAGGGTCGCTCTGCATGGTCCCAGGGACATCAATAGCCTTGACTCTGACCTTCACTTTACCTTGAACTTTGGTCCTCACCGTCCAAACTGTGAACCTGGGGAAGACCCCTTCTCACATTGCCTGCACCCCTGCCCATCCACCAAGCCTGCTCACTCAGCTTTGCCCACTCCCAACCCCTCTCGGGGGCCTGCACGAGTCAGCTCTCAGGAGTCTTCCATAGGATGTGGCCTTCAGCTGTGTGCTGGAGGCCAAGGCAGGGTCAGTAGCTGCCACTCCTGGGAGCTCCCTGGCTACTGTGCTTGGGGCAGTGTACCTCTCCTTGAGGGAGGTGGGACCAGCATCTTCCTTAGCACTTGGGGCTAGACCCATTTGCAAACTCGCATCTAAGCCTCAATGTGCCTTGTTTCTCTAATGGGAGCATTTGCCCCCGTCCTGAGCTATCCCCACTTCTGTCAGGGCTCCGCTTGTGGCCCATCAAGGCTGGGTGGGCAGTGCCACTTCTCAGAGTGAGCTGAGTGGCAGCAGCTGCCTTTGGATGACGCAGCTAACTGTGGCCTATTTGTGGAGGCCACGTGCCGGCTTCAGTAACCATGTTTGCGGCTGGCTAGTCCGTCCCTGGGGGCTGTGGAGCTGTGTTGGAACTGACACCCACAGAGGGCCCCAGACATTGGGAGAACTTTGTGTCGAGGGCCTTACGTTTTCTGCACCAGCACTGGGTGTCAGGGAGGCATCTGTCACTTGGTTCCTCAGCCTCTGAGTGCAAGCAGTGTAGGACTTGGGCTCAGGGGCAAGGTCCGCAGGGGGCTCCTTGAAGGGGCCTAGCTGTTGCTGTTTCCCTTGTATTACAGGCTTCCAAGACCCTGTCATGAGCCCTCAGCAGGCACAGGCGGAAGTGCCCAGGCCAGGCAACAGTCAAACTCCATAGCATGTCTCCTCTGGTCCCTTAGGAGTGGAGGCCTTGAGGTCTCACCCATGGTGGGCATGCTGTCGGGAAGGTGATGGCTAAGAATCCTCCTCCGTCTCCAGGGGCAGGAAGTCTAGGGCGTGAGACCTAGTGTGCCTGTGCTGGAACTGACGGCCTGTCTGCCCACCTGGCTGCACGTTCCCTACTGAAGTCCATGCCTGGCGCTGGACAGGACCATCCTGAGCCTGTTGCCACCAGCAGCAGCCACCTTCCAAATGCCAACTCCTGCAGTTCCTGCTGTGAGCTGGTTGGGAAGGCTGGGAGGGGGTGAGTGCTGGGGGTAGGGGCGCAGCAGAGGAGAGCCTGGGGCCGGGGGTTTGCATCGTGCACGGATCTTGTCTGCTCGCTTTAAGTGTGATTTTTCACATCAGCGCATCCTCACCCAGGATGCCAAGGATCACCACCTGTTTTAACAGAGTGATACACTAGCACAGAATGAATCAATAGCATCTCAGGGATGTGACAACAATGTGATTGTAGTCATTGAGTGTGTGCCCACGCTCAGTGGGCTGCGACAGGGCAGCCAGCTGGGTGGAGCAGACACTGGTGGGGACAGGTGTCCCATGCGCCAGGCCCCAGACCCAACAGAAGGACGACCCAGAGAGTGCCTGCGGGTGACTGGGGACCTTGGTGGTATGTGGCACAGACCTCTGGGCTCTGTCCCAGGTGGCTATCTTGTGTGCAGTGTGAACACTGGCATGGGCCTGGAGAGCCTGAAGAGTATGAAGGGACTCTGCGAATTCATGGAAAATGAAATTAGAAGGGAAGTTGATTTTGCTGGAAAAAAAAAAATTGAAATCCCTGCGTGTGTGTGTTGTAGGGGCGAGTTTTTCAAAAAGTCCATGAAAAACATGTGTTATTAAAGAAATGCATGGGTTTCAAGTTTTTTGCACTAGAATGGACGTATACCTAGAATTCCATTTTCCTAAGCACTGTGGAGTCCCCGCTGTCTGCTGTACACTGAGAGTGGCCTCGTCTTTCTGGAGCACGGGGTGGAGGACTTGAGTCACATGTTCCTATCAGCTGCGCACTATTAATTGTTATGATATTGACTGTAATAATCCGATCCAGGCAAGAAGTATCACTTGGAACTCTGACAAAATCAAATGTTGGCAAAACTAGGCAGCAAGTGAAACTTGTAACTCCAGAAGGAATCTGTGGTAGTTGGTACTGTCGCCTGACTCTCTGTGTCCCACTGGAACCCATATGCAGACACCGAACGTGGTGGTGTCGTTGTGCGGCTATGCAGAGGTGGTCGGGGCATGGCATTGGGGGCCCCCATGAATGGGAGGGGCCGCTTCCACTGGGTGAGGGTGCAGGCTGTGTTTGCGCAGGGTGAGCTCCCACTGGACACCAAGTCCACTGGCACCTTGACCTTGGTTTGCCCGGTCTCAAAACTGTGAGAAATAAATCCCATTTGTCTGTGCGTTGCCCAGTCTGAGGCATTCTGTTCAAGCAGCTCGAATGAGCGAGAATGGGTGGTGCGAGCCTGGGGGGAGAAGCTGAGTATGCGTGGAACCTGCATCCCAGTGGTCCACTCCTGGCAGCACACAGCTGCGACAAGGGCCATGCCACCACTGCTCAGCATAGCCAATACTGGAAACAATCTGAAAGTTGATGCATGGCAGAGTATTAGCAGGCAGCAATGAATACAAAGTGAAAGTATCGCGAATCGCACAGTCTCACTGGTGAACAGAAAAATCAATAAGGGGGCACGGTATTCCACATTGCAGCACCTGATTTGAGCCCTGGCCGCTCGGCTCCAACTCAGCTTCCTGCTTAAGTGCCTGAGAAGTGAGTGGATGATGCCCAAGAATGCTCCTTCCGCTCAAACACTTGGGCCATCCTTTTGAGCTGGTCTTAGAAAGACTAGCATAGAGTTCTGGCTGTTCAGGGAGTGGATCGGCAGATGGGAGATCGACCTCTCTCTCCCTTCCTCTCTGTTGTTCTGGATTTCAAGTAAGTTATTTTTTAAAAAAAAAAAATGAAATTGGGGCTCAGTATTGTTGTAGCCCACCTGTAGCCCAAACATCCCACATGGACGCTGGTTCGAGTCCTGGCTGCTCCACTTCTGATCCAGCTCCTGCTAATGTGCTTAGGAGCAAGCAGAGGATGGCCCAAGTGCTTGGGCCCTGCACTCACAATGGAGACCTGGAAGAAGCTCCTGGCTGGGACCTGGCCCAGTGCCAGCCCTTGCAGTCATCTGGGAAGTGAGCCAACCCATGAAGATTCTCTCTCTGTCCCTCTCTCTCCCCTTCCTACCTGCCCTTCCCTCTCTCCTTGCGTTTCTGTAACTCTGACTTTCAAACAAATAAATAAACATAAAGGGGCAAAAAAACATCTTTAAAATTTTGGTTCTAGTCATATAAAATTACAGGAAAACAAAACAAAACTGGGCTTGCTGATAGAAATCAGGAGAGTGGGCAGGGGCCTTCTGGGGTGCTGGCACTTCAGGTTGGGGCGCTGCTGGCACATGCAGACTCCCTGTTGGAGACGTGGGAGGAAGTGATGATCATTCTGATGAGAACGGACACACTGTTGCCCCAGAGCCTGAGGCAGGCCCAGCCCTGGCACTGTGTTGGCCAGCACTGGGGCTGGCAGTCACTGGGACACTTGCTGGTCGAAGTGAAGGAACGGCTTTGGCTGTGTGTGCTGCGATGGCTGGAAGTCGGCATGGAGGCACCAGAGGCACACCAGACGCAGAGGGGCAGCTCGTTGTTTGGGGGACTTGCTGGGCTGTCTGTGGTGGTCCCGAGTCGGGAGCGGGGGATTGGGAAGCAGCCGGCCATTGCCGGTCAGCCTGGCTGTTTGGGGCTGAGGACTGCCCAGGTTTGGTTTCTGCTTTAACGGGCCTCGTGTTCAGTCTCAGAGGGAAGGGATGGGCTTCAGGAGGGGCCGCATCCCTGGAAGAAGAGGAGTTCCAGGCATACTGTGTTCCTATTGCTCCCTGGAGTCAACAGGGTTGGTGTTAGCGGGAGCCTGGGTGCTAGAGGACTCTGTTCCAAGTCACTGACTGGTGACCACGCCTCCTGCCATGGTCTGAATGTGGCTTGCTCCACCAGGACTCATGAGTTTACTTTTCAGTGTGGTAGTGTTGGGAGGTAATGAGGTTGAGTTGGCATTGTGGCTCAGTGGGTTAGGTTAGGTGCCGGTTCAAGTCTCAGCTGTTCCACACCCACTCCAGCTCTTTGCCAGTGTGCCTGGGAAAGCAGCAGAGGAAGGCCCGAGTACTCGGGTCCCTGCGGCCACACGGGAGACCTGGGCCTTAGTTCTGAAATCCTGACTTCGGCCCAGCCCAGCTCTGGCCAGTGTAGGCATTTGGGGAGTGAACCAATGGGTGATAAAAGATCTTTTCTAACTTTGCCATCCAAATGAAATAAATCAAGAGATAATGTGGAGTCCAGTCACAAAATGGAGTCACATTGTCCCATGATATTAAATAATAACAAAAACAGAACACCCAGACAAAATAAGAAACGAACGAAACATGGGAGGGCTAGAGAACTTGAGGCGCTAACGCCGTGGTGGCCACCTGGACTTCATACAATTTTCATAGTCCTTACCTGGAGCTTCCTGAACCAAACCAGAAGAATCCACCGGTGTCCCAGCTAGAGTCCTGACTTGGGGCAACACGTTGCATCCAGCTTGGGCCTCTGAGTCCCAGTGGTGCACCTAGACAGACAACCTGCTCTTCAAGGGACCTTGAGCCTTTCCTGCAGTGGCTCAGTCTCCCGTTCCACACTTCCAAGGGAGGCTGGATGGTGCAACGGAGGCAAAATTCCCAGCCAACACACCAAATGTTGCATCCGACTGGAATCTCTCCCCAGGAAGTGCAGCCCAGACAACTCTGCTAAGCAACAAAGTTGATTGAGGAGGCAGATGAACACACCAACCGGGTGGGGTCAGCTCTCCTTTCCCTCAGGGAATGACCCCAAGGTGAGGGTTCCAAGGGTTTTTACAGAGTGAGTGAGTTGGGCTGCCATGGGGGGCCGCCACGGAGACAGTGGGTGAGTTGGGCAGGTGTGGGAAGCAGCCACGGAGACTGTGGGTGAGTTGGGCAGCTGTGGGAAGCAGCCACGGAGACTGTGGGTGAGTTGGGCAGCCGTGGGGGGCCGCCACGGAGACTGTGGGTGGGTGAGTTGGGCAGCCGTGGGGGGCCGCCACGGAGGCTGTGGGTGAGTTGGGCAGCCGTGGAGGGCCGCCACGGAGACTGTGGGTGAGTTGGGCATGGGGGGCAGCCACAGGAACCAGAGTCATTGGCAGGACATGTTACACCTTGTGCTCTGGCCCAAAGAGCAGGAAGTTGGCAAAGCATTTTATACAGAAGCATAAAGATCAGGTTAGCAAACTCAGGCAGGCCTGAACCAAAGTGACTCCATTTTGTGACTGGATTCGGCAGTAATGAGGTCACTAAGTGGGATTCTTTCCTTCCTCCGGGGAGTTCTCGCTCTCCTGAGACTACACTTGCAAAGAGAGCAGTGGTGACAATGCCAAACTGCATGCCCCGTGGGCACCTGCCTGCTCCCTGCCTTCTGCCCCAGGCTGTCCCGTGCCCGCCCTTGCCACATGTGGCTGCCTGGTTTCAGTGTGACCCTCTTTCCCTTTTCAGTTTCCCAGCAGAATGAGGACCCTTTGTTCTTCCAAGGGCTATGTGGATGTTCATAACCTTAGCTGCAGGCTCTACAAAATGACTTCAAAACCAGCCTGCTGCAGAGGAAGTGAATTTCGCGTCTCACTGCAATTGCCATGGGGGGGCCAGACCAGGTGATGCCATGGGCTGATAAAAAACCACAGGCTGGCGGGTCAGGATGCCCACCCAGCCCCAGTGTGTGCCTGAAGGCCTGGCTGGAAGCTCCACTCCTAAGGACACAACCTGAGTGGGCATCTCTCACTAGGCTTCTGCGCTTCCTTGGCCTACCTTAAACCCTGCTCTGATCTGTGCCAAGTCTGACTGCTCTACCTACATTTTATTTATTTTTTAAAAGATTTATTTACTTTTATTGCAAAGTCAGATATACAGAGAGGAGGATAGACAGAGAGGAAGATCTTCCATCAGATGATTCACTCCCCAAGTGGCCGCAATGGCCAGTGCTGTGCCAATCTGAAGCCAGGAGTGAAGAACTTCCTGCAGGTTTCCCAAGTGGGTACAGGGTCCCAAGGCTTTGGGCCGTCCTCGACTGCCTTCCCAGGCCACAAGCAGGGAGCTGGATGGGAAGCAGGGCTGCTGGGATCAGAACCAGTGCTCGAATGGGATCCCGGCGCATTCAAGGCGAGGACTTTAGCTGCTAGGCTACTGTGCTGGGCCCTCTGCCTGCATTTTAAAAGATGAATATTTTTACATCTTCCTTTTAGTTCCTCAGCACTATTCTGTTTACAAAAAAGAATGAAAAACCCACAACTGTTAATGGACATATAAAATTCAGACTCTGAAGGGCACTCAGAGACAAGTGAGGGGCAGGGGTGGGAGTAGGAGAGAGAAGGCCGAGACGGGAGTGAGGAGGCGAGATCTGCGGCCAACGCTCGGCACCCCGGCCGGCACGTGCAGGTCTGTAAAGCATGGGGCTGGGCAGGGCTGGCAGACACTGTCCCTGCTCAGCCCTCGGGGTCCTTGCAGAGGGCTGCCCGGGCTGCCCTGCCTTCCTGCACCGCCGTGCGCCCCTCCCCCATCCCAGCTGAGGCTGCCTCCGGTGAGTCGCTGGTTTTCCGGCAATCAGACGCTCCCTTCACTCCATCAATCCACTTATATTTAGCAAAAGGAGAAAGAAAATTTTCTCATTGCTGCGTACAGCTGCAAATGAGCCGCTTGCAGGAGGCCCATCCAGAGGAATGGAGCAAGAGAGAAACCGGTCATTGCTGAAGGGATGGTTTTCATATTTTCCTACTTGCTGTCACCACGTCCTTGGAGTCCTGAGCCCGTAGACCTTAGTGTGAGGAAATTCTGGAACCCCTTTTCCAAATCTTATTTCTTTCTACTTCATTTTAAAGGTAGGGATGGGGGAAGGGAGGGAGTTTGTTCTCCCGTGTGCTGGTTTGTTCCCTAAGTGCCTGCTACAAATCAGGGCTGGGCTAGGCTCGGGACAGGGGCCCAGAACTGCATCTGGGTCGCCCACGTGCATTGCTGGGACTCAAGCACTTGGGTACACTAGCAAGAAGCTGAATTGGAAGTGGAGGAGCCGGGACTTGAACGAGGCACTTCTCAACATCCCACATGGCCATTGCTTTGTGTCTCAGCTGCTCCGTTTCTGATGCTGCTGCTGATGCTGCTGCAGCACCTAGCTGAGCCGTCTTCCATGGCTTTCCGAGGTGCGTGAACAGGGAGCTGGATCGGTAGTGGAGCAGCCAGGGCTCAGGTGCGACAGCATGACAGGTGGCACAGTGAGCCCTCTTTGAGCAAAGATGAAGTACAGCGACTTAGCGGCCTTGGCT